GAGAAACAGGGAGGGAGGCAGAAGAAAGGGGCTTTACAAGGTACATCCCTACTGTTTCTAAGGATGTTCATGTGCACATGAACTAGAGAAAACCTTAAGTGTGTGTGTCCAGCGTGACACAGATTGAATACTTTAGCAGAGAGAATTTAAAGAGTGGAAGAAATAGGGAGGCACGTTCATCAGGGAATGTTATCTGCTGGTGAGTCTGAAGCAGTCCTGAAAGAACGTAGGATTTGGTTCAAAAGAGGAACATGGGAGAGGGGCCTCCAAGCAACAGAATGAGCTGTCCGTCTTACACACATAATTAAGTCGTGCACGTACTTAATTGCGTAAGTAGTGATGGGTCGACCGAGCTCTCCTAGGGAGGGAAATTGAGGTGAAGCCCATTAGGGAACTTGGACGGTCTGAAGAAGTTGGCTTCACTCTAAGAAGCCCGAAGGGCTGCAACGGTTTCATAAACATGGACTGACCTCGGATGGTTCAGGAATATGAATCTGGTGGGCCCAGAATCAAGAAAAATGATTGTTGGGGTCAGTATAAAATAGAGGTGGAGAGATTGGGCTTTGGTACAAAATAGCAAGATAGGACACTCTCAACAAGGGGGTTGCTAAAACCTGTGTTGTTTAGACTTTTTGGCAGATTAAATTAAGTACATCTATGTACGTATGTATATATGGATACACATATATGCACACACACACATACGATCACTTAGTACAGGTCCCGACATGCTGTACTTAAAGTAATAAATGCAGTCATACAGGTATGAAGGAATACAGGTCTGGATTAACGCTGTAGCTGTGGACATGAAGATATCCAGAATATTCTGATAAAAATTAGACTCTCGTTGGTTGCACAACTGTCTAACAAGTAACAGCAAATCTTTTGTGTTCCTCTTGTAATTGATGGGTTGTCCAAAGTTAATTAGTGGCGTCTTCTCCTCCTGTACTGTTCTTTGGAATGCACATCACACAAACCATCCGTCAGCAGTCTTATTCGACTACGACCATTTGGTGAGTGAATGCTGAGTTGTCCCTGAAATTCTGAAAGAGGCTTCTGTGGGGTAAATCCCTGGGGTATGATGGTAGGACTCTAAAGAAGTTGGTATCAGTACTTTGATGGCTCTACCCATTGGCAGTGCCTAAGGATTTAAATTGCTCAGTGCTGGGGCGCCTGGGTGGCTCAGTCGGTTCAGCGGCCAACTTCAGCTCAGGTCATGATCTCACAGTTTGTGAGTTCGAGCCCTGCGTTGGGCTCTGTGCTGACAGCTCAGAGCCTGGAGCCTGCTTTGGATTCTGTGTCTCCCTCTCTCTGACCCTCTCCCAGTCATGTTCTGTCTCTCTCTGTCTCAAAAATAAACATTAAAAAAAAATTTAAATTGCTCAGTGCTGTCCAGCTTGCCTTTGCTCTGATTCAAAAGGTGGGCCAGTCTGCAGCCTGGATCACTTTAAGGTATGGCACTGCTACAAGGCTAGATGCTGAGCCACTCTGGACCTTTTGCTCTATGACCCTTTATTTAGATTATGAATTTCTTTCAGGAACATATGCAGTTATATAATAGTTCAAATACTACCTGCTATTTGCAAGTTACTGTCCTGGGCACTGAGGTTGTATGATATAAAAGAAAATGCTAGAAGTGAATGATCTGAAAAAATAAAACTGGGATTTAAGAACAATTTGCGGGCTGCCTGGGTGGATCAGTTGGTTAAGCGTCCGACCCTTGGTTTTCACGATCTTGCAGTTTCATAAGTTGGAGCCTCGTGTCAGGCTCTGTGCTGACAGCGTGGAGCTTGCTTGGGATTCTCTTTTTCTCCCTCTCCCTCTCCCTCTCCCTCCTTCCCCCCTCCCTCCCTCTCCCCTTCCCCCACTCTTGCTGTCTCTGTCTCAAACTTTAAAAAAAGAACGATTTGCAATTTTTCTTCCCATTAGACTGCTGAGTCAGTGAATCATCATCTAGTTGGATACAATTGCAAATTCTGATGTTTGTATAACTAATTTTATTCTGTATGAATCGTTACGAGTATGGGAAACTATTAACTCCACATTAAGTAACTATTGGCTGTCTTTGGAATCCTATTCTTGCCTTCAAGAAGCTTCCTGTTGAGTAACTTCAAGTGAATTTCTATTCATTAGGTACTTACAAAGGAATTAGCTGTTAGCAGTAATAGTGGCCAGCTGGGAACAGGGTGGTATATAATTAAATGATTGGCTGGGTGTGGTCCTCTGGGAGCTGGGCTCCTCTCTGTGGTGTGTGTTCCTTGAGCATCTGGCTGCATGTTTTAATTTGATGGCTGGTTTTGTGAGTTGGAGACTTCCTTGGAGGGGCAGCGTACTCATTCAAACTCATACACACAAAACCGCACGGGCTTTCTCCATTGGTTGAGAACCAAGCTGCTCTCTCTCCTCTCAAGAGTTCTTCCTACAGTGAAGTGGGACCAAGAGTTGCTTTGATTTCATCCTCTGCTGCTAAGTTTACTTTTAGTTCTTTAGTAGCTTTTATTTGTAGCAAATCTACCTATTCTAACAATTATTGCTTAGCTTACAGTATTACAAGGTTTGTGAATGACTTTATATCTTCCCTTCATTTGGTGGACAACTTTATATCCGCTCTGCATTTTGCATCCTTTTATTAGGTCTCATTAACACTTAATCCTGAGAGAGTATTTTTCATCATCATAGCTAACGTTTATTGAGCATTTATTAGTAGATGCTTTATGAGCATCTGATTGGCTCAGTCAGTAGAGATTCTTTTGATTGATTGACTGATTCGGAGAGAGGGAGGGAGAGAATCTTACAGAGATTCCATGCCCACAACTGTGAGATCATGAGTCAGGATTAACTGTGCCGCCCGTTGCCCCAGTCAGTGGAGACTCTTGATCACAAAAAAAAAAAAAAAAAAAAAAAAAAAAAAAAAAAAAAAAAAAAAAGGCGCTTTACATCTTTATTTGTACTTCCTAACTCTATGAGACTTGTATTATTGTTCTCTATTTATAAATGAGAAAATTAGGGCCAGAAGTTTTAAGCAATTTGTGCAAGGTCACAAAGCTATGTGATAGAGTCAGGATTTGAACCCAGGTAGTCTTGGCCTCATAGCACAGATTTTTCAATCGTTATGTTGTGCCTCATTCTGCCATATTTCAAATTTTATTTACCCATACAAAGCTCTGGGCTCTGATTAGCAGTATTTTATCAACAGGCTAGCCAGCTACACTTCCATTTAATTGGAGTTTCCAGTCTGCATTTCTCCAGCATGTTCATAAATGTATCCAAGAGGCTACCTTAAATGCCTTTCTAAATCATGATTCCAGAGTATTCTTTAGGATAATAAAGGAGGACATCACCCAGAAAAAGTTCCGTTGTTTAAAAAAAATAAAACAATGGGGCGCCCGGGTGGCTCAGTCGGTTAAGCGTCTGACTTCAGCTCAGGTCATGATCTCGTGGTTTGTGGGTTCCAGCCCCGCATCGGGCTCTGTGCTGACAGCTCGGAGCCTGGAGCCTGCTACAGATTCTGTGTCTCCCTCTCTCTCTGGCCCTTCCCCTCTCGAGCTCTGTCTGTCTGTCTCTTTCTCTCTCTCTCTCTCTCTGTCTCAAAAATAAATAAACATTAAAAAAAAATTTTAAAAAACAAAACAAAAACTCTAGGTAAGGCTCTCAGTAGCTCCTTGGCCAAGGCATCTAACGTGCTCCTGAGACTCTTCAGAGTGAGATGCTGTGTAGCAAACAGCGTTCCCAGGACTTGGCCACACAGCCGTACTTCAAGGGACAGTTTAGGGGGTGGTGTTGTTCATAACACACTTTAGGAAAAGTTAGTGGTCTAATTCATTTGGTGGACAACGTGATATCTACCTTTCTATGCTTATTTATTGTGTCATGTAGCAGTTTCGACAGAAAATAAGATTAGATTTTTCTGGTTATCCAGTGCTGGTTTCTAATGATTGCTTCTGTCTACACAAACCTTTTATTTGTTAGTAATTGAAGAATTTTATTCCCTAGCGGACTGAATGGTCTGCGATTTTTGTTACCCATTTACTGTTTAGGGGATACTTTAAAACTGTTAATTGCACTCTGGTTTTCTGACACGTTCCCAGTTCAAACTTTACCGAGGACTAGTTAGTGGTTTGGAGTGCAACATCTTCCAAGTTTTTCCTGTGTCCTGGAGTGTAATTCCTCTGGGTTTGGGGACTTAAACTCATTTAAAGTGACTTTTATTAGGTCTATATATGTCTTAGGCTTGAATTCCTTTGTAATCATATAATAACTACCCTTTCCAATTTGAAGATCAGCCTCGCGGTAAAAGGAGATTGTCACTAAATCTGAAAGATTCTTCTTTCTTTCTCTGGATCCATTTCCCTGAAGACCGTGGGGTCAAGTCCTTTCCTCTCCCTGCCTCACATATCCATAGAAAGCACAGTTCAATTGACTCCTGCTTTGTTTTGTTCTAGCCTTCCTGGCTCTGAACCACTCTCTTTTGGTCATTTATCTCTTCCTTTGTCTTTAATGTCCCTTTAAAATCTCTTGTTAAGAGCTGGTAGTCAAACAGCTAAGCACTAAATAAATAGCACCACTGATATATGTCACAAATTCGGAGAAGGGAGTGATGGGTGAAAGCCAGAATGATCTCAGAAGGCTTCAGAGAGAGAATTGGATCTGGTGGGACGGATGGGATTTAGATAGGAAAACAGCATTCCAGACAAGGGGCCAAGGGAGGCAGAGGACGGAATATTCAAGGAATGGCAAGTAGTCTAACCGGAGTGGACATTATTCTATAGAAACAGTGGATGTAGCAGTTGGAGTTGGCTTTCGGCACAGTTTCTGGATGAAATTTTGGATAGAACCTAAAGCTGGTGTTTGTATCACAAAAAAATTGTAAAAACCCAAATATCCAATTGTATCAAAGATGTAGATGGGTATGGTTTTCATGAATATGTAACGTGTTTATGGTTTTGTGAGTAGTTCAGCTGCGTGCTCTAAATGCTTTAAAGATCAAGTATGTTGCTGTTATGGCCATTATTTATGGCAGTTCTAAAAAGAATGTGGGAGCCAGGCTATGAATCATGGCAACATTTATTCTGACTCTTAAAACAAAAATCTTTATTTCTTGAGTAAGTACTCACTTTCAGACACACACTTGATCTTTTAAACGTATGTCTTTCAAAATTAAGACAATTGATACAAAATTCTGTATATGCGAACGTGACCTAGTCGACACTGATGAATCACTCAGTACCCTAAGTAATGTAAATATATTCCTCTTAGAGTGAAATATTTATCTGATAGTTTTTATATCTCTTATTTTCAGGTTGGCTCTAAAGCAGAAGTTGCTGAGTGTAAGGAGAAGTTTGCCACATCGAAAGACCCCACAGTCAGTCAGACTTTCATGTTGGATAGGGTGTTCAACCCTGAGGGGAAAGCTTTGCCGCCGATGAGGGGATTCAAATATACTAGCTGGTCCCCCATGGGTTGTGATGCAAATGGCAGGTGCCTCTTGGCGGCACTGACCATGGACAATCGCCTGACCATCCAGGCTAACCTCAACAGACTCCAGTGGGTCCAGCTGGTCGATCTGACAGAGATTTATGGAGAACGTCTTTACGAGACCAGTTACAGACTCTCTAAAAATGAGGCTCCGGAAGGGAATCTCGGGGACTTTGCGGAGTTTCAGAGGCGACACAGCATGCAGACTCCGGTCAGGATGGAGTGGTCGGGCATCTGCACCACCCAGCAGGTCAAGCATAACAACGAGTGCCGGGACGTAGGCAGCGTGCTCCTGGCGGTCCTCTTTGAGAACGGCGACATTGCCGTGTGGCAGTTTCAGTTGCCCTTTGTAGGGAAGGAGTCCATCTCTTCGTGCAACACGATCGAGTCCGGAATCAACTCTCCCAGTGTTTTGTTTTGGTGGGAATATGAGCACAATAATCGGAAAATGAGCGGCCTTATCGTGGGGAGTGCTTTTGGACCTGTAAAAATCCTGCCCGTCAATCTCAAAGCAGTTAAAGGCTATTTCACTCTAAGGCAGCCTGTTGTCTTGTGGAAAGAGATGGACCAGTTGCCAGTGCACAGCATTAAATGTGTCCCGCTCTATCACCCTTACCAGAAGTGTAGTTGCAGCTTGGTGGTGGCAGCAAGAGGATCCTATGTGTTTTGGTGTCTTCTTCTGATCTCCAAAGCAGGCCTCAACGTTCACAATTCCCACGTCACAGGGCTTCACTCGCTGCCGATCGTCTCCATGACTGCGGACAAGCAGAACGGGACGGTGTATACTTGTTCCAGTGACGGGAAGGTGAGGCAGCTGATTCCCATTTTCACAGATGTGGCGCTAAAGTTTGAACACCAGCTAATTAAACTCTCGGATGTGTTTGGCTCCGTGAGGACGCACGGGATAGCGGTGAGCCCCTGCGGCGCGTACCTGGCCGTCATTACGACCGAGGGCATGGTCAACGGCCTCCACCCCGTTAACAAAAACTACCAGGTCCAGTTCGTTACTCTCAAAACCTTTGAGGAGGCAGCTGCTCAGCTCCTGGAGTCTTCTGTTCAGAATCTCTTCAAGCAGGTTGATTTAATAGATCTGGTTCGCTGGAAGATTTTAAAAGATAAACACATCCCGCAGTTTTTACAAGAAGCTTTGGAAAAAAAGATCGAAAGCAGTGGGGCCACGTATTTTTGGCGTTTCAAACTGTTCCTCTTGAGGATTTTGTATCAGTCGATGCAGAAAACCCCTTCAGAAGCATTATGGAAACCGTCCCACGAGGACTCCAAAATCTTACTCGTTGACTCCCCTGGGATGGGCAATGCCGAGGAGGAACAAGAGGAAGGCACTTCCAGACAGGCCAGTAGGCAGGGCCTTCAGGAGAGGAGCAGAGAGGGCGATCCCGAGGACCCCATCGACGACTCGCTGACCCCATCTGGAGACGCCGGGGGCCGGGAGCCGATGGAAGAGAAGCTCCTGGAGATCCAAGGGAAGATCGAAGGCGTGGAAATGCACTTGACCAGGGAGCACATGAAGCGGGTCTTAGGAGAAGTGTACTTGCACACCTGGATCACAGAGAACACGAGCATCCCCACCAGGGGCCTCTGCAACTTTCTGATGTCTGACGAGGAGTACGATGACCGCACGGCACGGGTAGGTGTTTGTAGCGGAAGCACGAGAACGGTAAGAGGTCTGCTTTCTGCATGAGGGAGAAGTGGTCTAAACCAATTCCTAACCCAACTTTGACTTCGATATTTTGTAAGGAGTTGATTGGCGTGAGGTGCAGGAGAATAAATAGGAAACGAGGATTAATGCAGAGGACATTTGCAAATCATACAAAAAAACATTTCGATGCTTCCTCCCACCGCAGCCTGATGGATAAGCAAGGTTTGCGGGCTGAGATCCCCCGGCTGTGGATGAGCCGGAGGAGGCTTCGTTTAGCGAGTCGTGTGTGACTGGGCAGTGACAGCAGGGCAAATGTGACACCCTGCTTGCTTCCCTCCCTGTTTGCAGAAGGTTCTGGGGTTGGGAGATGGGGTGGCGGTGGCCGCACAGGGACTGCGCACATTTGGGAAGACTTGACGAGGCCTTTTGATGTAGTCAAGAAGGGCATGTCAAGTAAGCAGATTATTACTCATAATGTTTACTTTTACAAAAACTGGGCTTAATCTTTATTTTGGTTTAGAAGCATCTTAGAGCCTTATCCGAAACGTATTCCACAGAATTCAAGTTCCCTGATAGAACGATAGGGTTACATTCTGTCCTCCTCTTAGAGGCTCCCAGTGCACCTTATCCTTTTGATGGTTCTGGGAATTCCTGCAGAGAAGAAACCCTTTGACTTTGTGTACTTCATTGTTACCCTGACATCAGGGAACCTTTCTTTGTGAAGTAATAGCTCCTAAAATCCTGAAAAACTTTTGTTTCAAGGAATATACTTTATAGTAACGTATTCAGAACTACAAAAGCCCGTGCTCCTTTTTACTCTTAAGACTGACACTTCTTCTCACTGCCCAGAGTCTTAAAATTGAAGGCAATAGGGGCACCCGGGTGGCTCAGTCGGTTAAGCACCTGACTCTTGATGTCAGCTCAGGTCATGATCTCACGGTTAGTGAGTTCATACCCCGCATCAGCACGGAGCCTGCCTGGGATCTTCTCTCTCCCTCTGCGCCCCTTGCGTGCACGGTTTCTCTCGAAATAAATAAATAAGCTTAAATAAAATAAAATCGAAGGTAGTAAATTCAGGTATCTTCGTGCCTAATGTTAAACCACTCACAAACTCCTTGCTGCATTTTCTTGTTGGAAAGTGTGCATATCCACCCCGAAATTATTCCGCCTAGGATATCTGCGGTAAAATCTCAAGAGTAGTTACAATGTACTGTTCACGTAACTGATTTTTCATCTCCGAAAGTCCGCTCTTAAAAAGTATTCCGTTGTGCTCCCAATTGCGACTTGCGAATTGCGAGGAAGTTTTCTGGACCTAGCAGGAGTGTTACAAGAGTCGGTGGAAGATTAACAAAACATTTTAGGAAGTACGTGGTGGAAGTTGGTGGTCGTAGTTTAGGTAATTGTCCAGGTGGGCAATGAGCACAGGAAGCTACTGGCATAGTCACGTGTTTCCAACAGAGCCAGGGGAGAGGAGGGAAGATGGCACCTCTGTTATCGGTAAAACTGAGTTTTGATTAGAAACGCTGCATTTCAGGGCACCCGGGGGGCTCAGTCGGTTGAGCGTCCGACTTCCACTCAAGTCACCATCTCATGGCTCATAAGTTCGAGCCCCACATCCGGCTCTGTGCTGACAGCTCAGAGCCTGGAGCCTGCTTTGGATTCTGCGTCTCCCTCTCTCTCTGCCCCTCCCCTGCTCCAGCTCTGTTTCTCTCTCTCTCAAGAGTAAATAAGCATTAAAAAAAAATAAACACTACATTTCATGTCTTTAAAAAAATCCCACTATATACATGAAACGAACCTTTTCAAACTTAGCGCATTGATCTAGTAATTACAAATTGTTTCTGAGATTCTCAGCCTGATATGTTGGTGTAGTTAAGACTATCACTGCCACCCGCCACCCCCAGCATTTTTAGGCATTTTTCCCCCTAATTGTTCTTGCCTGTAACCTACTAATAATACAGCTACATTGTGCATGTGTTTTGATACAGATTACATACGTCAATGTGCTTTATGCATAAAAAGGGTAAGAATTCTTGTCCTCCCAAGAATAAGTATTTGTCCCTTGGAAGGAACAGTATCTCTCCCATTGGGAATGTAGGAGTTACACTAATACAGTTGGGCTTGCACAATCAAGGCTAGTGAGAACAAACGTGGAAGCACTTCTTCCTTGTGTAAAACTGGAGTGCGTCTCTCCTGAAGGAGTCCGGAGTAGGTTTTGTCGTACCACTGTCAGCGTGTTTGACCTGTCCGGAAAAGAAGGGAGGGGTGGTTGTCGCTGCACGAGGGACCAAAAATTAGAATTCTTAAGGCTAAAAAACCTAGAAAGCCAAAAGGTAACGGGCTTTAGATTTGTAAATTACGTACTGAGTAGGTCAGACAACACCCTTTGGAGCTGTTAAGATACCCTTCAGAACTTCAGTGAGCTAATTTTAGTGAGTGGCTGAAGGTGAGTTTTTCCCCCAGAACTTAAGTGTAAATGGATTAAAAAGCTTGAAGGACCTTATCTCCGAGTGAGACGAGGAAGTTCTAAAGGCTCGTTGTATCTACGCCTGCAAAAGATGTAGCCAGTGAAGGTTTTTTTCAACAAAGTGATGAAGTAGATACCTCTTTTTAGACTTTGATTTTTCCTTTGCTGTGATCCTAACGAGGCAGGGAAAAGCCGAAATAGGGACCAGCTCTAGAGCCTGTGCTGTCAACCTCTCCACGGGGGGCCCACCGCCCCTCTGCAGGGGGCCCAGTGGTTCACAGATGGCAGGCTGCTAGACCAGATTGGTCATGGGTCTTGGGGCTATCAAAAAGGGAAATGATTATTTTTTAATCCTGCTTATACTTTGTAAGCCTCTCTTATTAAAGAATGGACGTTTGTACAATCTTACAAAGTTAGCATTTCACAGACTACTTCACCCGTAGACTTTATGCTTTCCCTTCTTAAGTCATTATAAAGAATAGCTAAATACTTTGTCTTCTAACAGAACTCTGAATTCCTGGTTTCAGAAGCTGCTAAAACGAGGCAAGTGGTAAGATTTTGATTTTCAGAACAGGTTTTTCTTTAGTGGCTAGCATTCACCCTGTTACCAGAGGGTCCCTCAATGAATTTAGTTTACTTAGCTAGTCAGCACGTGGAGAAGGTCTGGCTTTGTCACGTTCAGACACCATGAGCGGCCTGCGTGGAAATGCCGATATCCCATCCATACGGCATATGTTTTCCTTCCTCCACTGGGTCAGTAGGCTTTTTCTTTGACAAGTCTTACACTCACCCCACTAAACATTGCCGACTGCTTTGTCTCATTAGGTGCTGATTGGACACATCTCAAAGAAGATGAACAAACAGACCTTCCCTGAGCACTGTAGTTTGTGTAAAGAGATCTTGCCATTCACAGATCGCAAACAGGCAGTCTGCTCCAATGGCCACATCTGGCTCCGGTAAGCCATTGTAAGCCAGCCCCTGCTTTGTGCACCTCTTCCAGGTTTGTGCCGCACTGAGCGCGGTAAAGTGTGTGTCTAAAACGTGTCGCCCCTGCCACTCGGTTGGAGAAAAGCCACTACCAAAAAGCCAGGCATAGACTTTTTTCATCGGTCTTACTAAGGCCAGACGCTCTCTAAAGACCATGTTTTTACCGCCTGACATACAGAGGGCTTTCTTTATTTTGGCGATACGGTTTTCCTTTGAAGGAGCGTTAAAATTGTAAAGTATTACAAAAGTAGTGTCTGTTGAAGTCAGTGGAATGTAAAAGAGGTCGTGCACTCGTTTGGGTCTGACTTTATACTGAAAGGTGGAAGTCTTCCTGCTCTCACTGGAAGAGGGCATCTTGGCGTGCTCAAACCCGACAGACCTGTGAGCCGCGTCCGACACCGGGCGTCACTCCCCGGCTTGCTCCTTGAAGCGCCTGCGTCTCCCGGCGTCCTGGACGCCATCCTCCCTGGTTTCCCTCCGGCCTCTGACGCTTCGTTCTTGTTGTCTCTGCTGATTCTGCTTCGTCCCCTGGAGACCCATCCTGGACCTGCTTCTCCTTCGTCAGCACTTCCCTGGCGGTCACACACCGCCTGTCCGCGGGTGACTTAAACGGAGAGCTTTAGCCTGAATCTCTCCCCCGAAAGCCAGACTTTCGTGTCCGACCACCTGTGCAGTGTCTGTGTTTGCACGTTTAACAGGCGTTTCCAGTTTGCATCCAGCCTGTTCTCACTGCCTCCGCCTCCCCAGTCCTGGTGAAGACACCATCCTCCCTTGCCGGGGTGACATAGTCATCTCCCAGCAGGTGTCCCCGCCTCCTCCCATGCCCTCTGGTCTGTCGTCAGTGTGGCCATGATTGTGATCCTACTAAGACTTCATCCGTTCATGTCACCCCTCTCTCCGCTCAGAACTCTCCAGAGGCTGCACATTTGGGATGAGTAAACACCAAAACCCCTTTAGTGACCAAGACTGAACAGCCTGGCCCCCATCCCCTCTCTGACCTCCTCTCCTGTGCTTCTCCGCCTTGCTTGCTTCACTCCAGCCCACTGGCCTCAGTGCTCCTCAGGTACACAAGGCACCCCTCCTCCTCCGGGATGTCTGCACTGCCATTCTCGCTGCCTGGCAATGCTCTTCTGACCGGTGTCCGCGTGGCTTCCTCAGGCGTTCCTTTCTCGGTTAGGCCTTTTTCCTGGCCACGCTACCTGGAACCGTAACCCCTGCTGGCGTCCCCTGCCTCCTGGTTTTCCTATCGCTCTTCCTTGCCTTGCTGTCCTCCCTAGCAGTCACCGCCTCCTCATAGATGTTTACTGTTTGTTTCTCCCTCTCCCCTGGGATACAAAGCTCCATGAGGACGGGGAATTTTGTGTCCACAGCTGTTCTAGAACAATGCCTGGTCCTTGGTAGGTACCCATTCCACCTGCCCTTTGTAGCCTGGTCCTGATGGGTGTTTAGCGAGTGGTCACAGGACAGGGCCGAACCTGGGGACGTCTCTTCACGTCCCGTCTGTCTGCACCGTTAACTTTGTCTTCTGTACCTTTCAGGTTTTCCCCATTGTACTGTCACATCCTTAAACACAGTGCTTAGATCTAATCTTCAAAATCACATACGAGAATAATTTGCCATATGATACCTGATCGTCTTTTTTAACATGTCAGAAATTCAAAATATGGACAGGTATGGACAGAGTAAACGCTTTCCCAGTGACGCAAATGGCCAACAAGAAGTGGCAGCGACTGGACTGGAAGCTTTGTGTGTCTTGGCTCAGCAACCTGCCCCTGAGCGGGGACCCTCACTGGGGGTGGGGCAGCGCAGGTGTGCAGAGGGCCACCCTGTCGCCACGCGCGTGAGCGCCGTTTACGTGCTTCACTTGGTTAGCGGATGGTTTTACGGGAACTGTGTGGCGAGTTGCTCCTGACGATCCAGTCTGTATTCTCTCAGGTGCTTCTTAACCTACCAGTCCTGCCAGAGTCTGATCTACAGAAGGTGTTTGCTCCATGACAGCATCGCCCGCCACCCAGCTCCAGAAGGTGAGTGCTTGCCCAGCCTTGGGAGGGTGGCACTGACTCAGCTCGGGTCAGGCTCCACCCTGCAGGATCTTAGGCCACTAGGGACCGTCAGCAGGCTCATTCTGCTCTTTGCAGTCTTACCATGAAACCACAACTAATGAAAAAATGAGAACTGGAATATGTCATGTGGAAGGATATAGTTACTGCACGCTGGTGTGTGAGTAGGGCTGCACTTTGCTGTTCCGTTACTGCAAACAAATTATTCATTCAGAAAAATGTCAGAGCTTGTGTTAGATGGCACGTGTAGATTATATTTGGATGGAGATTCTACAAATGATGAGGTATACGAAGACAGCATTGCTAAGCCAGAATATTCGGTGTGTGCTTGGACTCATCCTTCTAAAAGCCATGACGGGATTTTCCTGGTTAGCCTGTATTCTCTTTCCTGATGGGCCCGGTGACAAAGCCCACATTTCTGAGATGATGAGTTGGAAGTAAGATCATAGAGGTGGGCAAGGAATTAGTGACTTAAATAGTCACATGAACGTCCGATTCATGACCCAAAGCTCATTCACATCACATCGCACGCTAACCAAAAAGGCTAAGTAGACATAAGCGTATATAATTATCTACATGTTTGGGGGAAATTTGTGGTCTCGATGAACTAAAACAAAACATTCTCCACAAAACTATGCCCTTTTTCTTGATTTTTACTCCAAACTGGCTAACGTCTCATTCTGAGAAGTTGGTGTGCTGGCAGCTTGTGTTCTTTTTAAGTTGTTACTATGGAACAACTGTGGAAAATGTAGCCACATACAAAAGTAGAGAGTATAATAAATCCTCATGTAGCCATCATTCAGAAATTGTCAGCTCATGCCTTTTTTTTTTTTTTTTTTTTTTTTTTTTTGATGTTTGTTTATTTTGAGACAGAGAAAGTGTGAGCGAGGGAGGTACAGAGAGGGAGGATCCCAAGCAAGGCTCCACACTGTCAGCACAGAGCCCGATGCGGGGCTCGATCTCACAGACCGGGAGATCATGACCTGAACCCAAATCAAGAGTGGGACGCTTAACCGACTGAGCCCCCCAGGCATCCCAGCTCGTGGCTTTTTGTTCTTTCATCTGTAGTCCCCCATTCGCTTTCCTCCTCTTACTGCATTATTTTGAAACAAATTAGAGGGAACTTTAAACACTCACTGCAGTTGAGAATTGGTATGTTTAGACAGGAAATCAGGAAAAGATTGAGACAAATCAAAGAAACGAATCCACCTGCCAAATTGACCTTGAGTTGAGCTACATACAGCTTTAGGAAGAATGAGAATCTGTGGGTCTGGAGAGCAGTCGTACAATAAAGCACTTACAGATTAGGGGAGTTTTTAAAGGGGGAGACGGTGTTGAGCCAGTGTGGTCGTGCTTTTTTCTAAGTAATACATTAAAAAAAAATACCATTACTGTAATTTTATAAAAGGATATCTTAGGGGCATCTGGGTGGCTCAGTCATTTAAGTGTCCGACTTCAGCTCAGGTCATGATCTTGAGGTTTATGAGTTCAAGCCCCGCATCGGTCTCTGTGCTGACTGATAGCTCGGAGCCTGGAACCTGCTTCAGATTCTGTGTCTCCCTCTCTCTCTGCCCCTCCCTCGCTTGTGTGCTCTTTCTCTCTCTCTCCCTTTCTCTCTCTCTCTCTCTCAAAGATAAATAAACATTAAAAAAAAATTTTAGCATTAACAGTGTACTAAGGCTATGTTCCCAGAACAAAGTACAGTCCCCGTCCTTGAACTGAGTAAGTTTAGCTGTATGAATCATTCATTCATTACCCTTCTCTTCCTGTTCCATCATAGAGGGATGAAAATTTCATCGCACACTTAGCTTTGGGAAGCACAGATCTAGTCCAGCTGGTCTAGGATGTTGGCGCGAGGTGCTCTGAGGACGCAGAGCCAGGACCAGGCCTCTTGTGCGTTCACGCTGTCCGGCCAGGCCTCAGCCCACCCGCTCCGAAGTCGACACTCAATGCCACTTGTCTTCCTTTGCAGATCCTGACTGGATTAAGAGGTTACTGCAAAGCCCTTGCCCTTTCTGCGATTCTCCCGTCTTCTGAACGTCAGCGGTGGGAAGATGGGAAGGGCACATACTCTGTTACAGAAAATGCCCTCTGGCCTGAAGACGTAGGACGCGCTGGCTGATCCCGGCCTTCGGGTGGCGAGGCTCTCTCCAGGAGTGTAGATAGGGCCCTGGGAACTCATTTCTGAAGCACGGTCTCTGTCTCCGGGGACTAAGGGATTTCTTTGAAACAACTGAATGCAGAGATTTTAAGTCATTCTGAGATGAACATTAGCCCCCCGCCTCCTCACCCAGTGAGGAACACTTATTTTTCAAGTGTTTTGACTGAAGCAGTTTGAACCACAAGAATGCCCTATCATCTCTGGGAACAGAACGATCTCTTCTAGAGAGTTGGGGTAAGGGCCTCGCTGGACCAAGTTGGGCTTAACGCTTGCCTTGGTGCCGAGCCGCTGCTCCAGAGAGCTTAAGCGCGTGGTGCATGGTACGCGGTATTCCGGCACACGTTAAAAGTGTCGGAAACAGCACAGGGTCCTGATGCTTTGTTCCGAACAAACAGCCACAGATCTGTATCCCGAGGATTCCTGTTTCTCATGCATATGGAAACCGTTCTCATAGAACTGGATTTTTAAGAGGTTGAAGCCAAGACTAAAGTTGGCTTTAATGTGTCAAAAGATCAGGTGATTCTCCTAAGTTAATAATTGTGACTTATTTTTAGTGAGCTCCCATGTTAGCAGGTTTCCTGTCCTTTGTCCTTAATGTGTAAAGGACATCTGGTATTCCCGTTCACCTGTGACACCTCCCTGCTTCAGACTGACTGTCACAGCCTACGTGAGATTTCTGTACATAGAAGAAAAAGAATATTTTCTCCTTAAAACTTGGAGTGTTTTTAATGTTGACATGTCCAGACATTTCATTTATATCCAGTATGAGAACGTGCAGTCCATCTAAAGACTTCCAGGAAACTTCCAGAAAGCAGTGGGCAGCCCAGACGTGCTCTGGTGCCACAGGTGTGTGCGGCTCAGTTGACGGGAGCCTGGGACTTTCTCCTCAGTATAAAGGTCCTTGGTATTTGTAATACTGGTATTTTCCTCTGAGCTGTTAAGAGGAACTGTTAGACATCAATTGGCCTTAAAGTCCAAAACTAAAGATGGACATTCAGGAATTACAGTGTTGCCAGATTACAAAGTAAGTGTCCTAGGGATTGGTGCTATTCAACAGGACTGCGATGCCCACAGCTCGAGATGGTGCGTATTTCTGGGAAGTTGGATAGGAAATACAAAATGTGAAATTGCCACTTCTGTCCCATGCTGTCTGGCCTTTATTCTGACATTTATTCCTGCCTTTCTTGTGATCGCTCAGAGAAAGACATCTTGGCCTCGCTTCAGAAACACTTGCTGTTTGGACGAGATGCCCCCGGACACCCCCCACACCACTGCATTCTTGCCCCTCCACTCGCGTGTTGAGAGCCAAGAGCCCTTCAGAGGCGCTTCCAGTCTGCTTTGAAATATCTTTGGCTTCCTGTTCTAATCTTGCTTTGTCTCCTGTGTTCAAATCTGTATTTTCTGGAGTCTTCTGCTTATCCTTCTCCTCTTGGTGACTTCAAGAATAGTGTTGATCCAGATGCCAGTGTCTGGCACGTTAAGTTGGTTTTCAGGAAAGAATCGGGCGGCATTAAGGTCATGGGTGGGTGATGCAGCTCAGAAGGCGGTGTGGCCGTGGTCGTTTGTGCCTGTAGCTGTTTGACATGACAGCAAATAGGAGGGTAAAAATTGAGATCATGTCAAGGAATTATTGCAATTTTCATAATCATGGGATGCTTAGTCTCACATATTTTTGGTTCCAACCAGGGTCAGTGTTCAATTTGTTCCGATTGGGGACTTCTGTGCTGCTGCCATTTAAAACTTACATTAAGTTTTCATTTAAAACAGTTGTACATTTGGGGGGAATTTAACTCTTGGGAGTTAACTAGAAGGGTCTCCCAAATTATTTTGTATGTCTATGTAGGAATAAACATGGCAACTGTTGGGCTAGAACCTGGCTTGTCTCTGCGCGGGACTAGGCCTGGGGGCATTCTTCAGGTTCTGAAACCCACCCGACCCCTGCTCGGCCTGCGTTTCTGCGTGGAGCTGGGCGGTCTCCCTCTCTTCCAGCCCCACCCCCTCAGCCACGGAGGCTGGCGTGAGCTCGTGGCAGCATCACAAACGCAGGCCGCTTCCGACTTCACAAAGAGCCAGAGCACCTGATGACAGAGCGCCGGTCAGTGGGACCTTGAGAACGCAGGGGTGACCCCTGGAATCTTCCGGCTCATTGTCTCTCGCGGCTTAAACTTGTCATGCCCTCTGTGCTTCCTCACATCTGCCTGATTTGGTTAGTGGATTTTGAGTTTCTCTCGGCTGTCACTGTAACAACCGTTTCAGAAGCGGCAGAAGCGGTAGAAGCCACGGTGTCGCGCTGCTTGGGAGCACGGCGGCAAAGACTGTGTGCAATTAGGCCTTTTCAGCTACAACACGTTGCATTCGGGAGTCTGATAGCCACACCTGGATCGCGCTCTTTCCGCCCGGGGTTAATTTGTCCCCATTACTCTAGATAAGAAATTGATAGCTTGTTATGCTCGGGATTCATTCTGAAATCCTCATGTGTCCACCACCCAGACTTCAAGCAGCCTCTACCTACTATTATATCTGCCAGAACTACCAATTATTTTTCAGTGTCAGGACTTATTAGAACCACTGGTGAAGCGTGTGGTTGAGTGTGACATTTTTCTGCCTCTCTCTAAGAAGTTTTTGGGAATGTTAATGTTGAAACGTGCGGGTTGGACCTGTTAGCGAGTGTCGTGGGTTAATCAGGTGAATGGAATGTTAAAGGGTAGTAATGGAATATTAAAATATATTCTGTTGTAACTAGAACGCTATCAGCTAAGAAGCAGAAGAAGTTGGTGGTTATTGGTGCTTGTCACGGGGAGTTTTAAGGAACACCTGCTCCGCTTGCAACAGTCAAACCGCTTCCGAGTTTAGTGACTTTACTGCAGGAATTAACGCCACCGGTCCAGGTCCAGAGCCTTCTTGCTCCTGATTCCTGTCTCTTGCCTGTCCTTCCTCTTGATTTCCCTTCCTCTGGTTTTCTCAGCTTTAGGACATGTCCAGAGCTAGCAGATTTCATGCTTGAAAGAACGACAGACCAGTGATAAAATCTGTACAAATTAAATCACACGGTAGGTCTCCCTTCCCAGAAGAGACGGCATCACACAGTGACTTCTTTCTAAGGGTAACAGTGTTAGTTGTTAGCTTGGTAAACTGTATCTGGCTTTCTTCGAAACTCTTGTTATTTCTGTGGCAGAGTGCTCAGCAGCTCCTGGCTGGGCTTTGGGGTAGAGTCTGCTAAATGCTAGCTCCTTACTCTACCCACCCCCCTCCCCAAGCCAGCATTGTCCTGACAAGCAGAACTTCTGGGGACGCCAAGCCGAACGGGTTGTATGAGAAGTCAGCCGGCCTAAGTTTTTCTAAGGGAAAGATACATTCTGCCCCCTTTTTTTTTTTAAAGAGATTGGGCGGCGAAAACAGCCAATAGGCAGAGAAATGAATGAATGTCTTAATGTTAGCCCCCCCGTGGACCCTTGAGGGCGTCCGCGTGGCTCCCGAGATCAATCACGAACACACCTCTCTGCTCACACGCTCCCTTTCTGTGTGTCCGTGGAGTTGCACAGTTCGGTGAGGCTCCAGCGTGTCTCAAGAATCTAACCTCATCCCTCAAGGTTGTCGGTTTTACGGGTGCCTCTAAAAGATCTAACTGTGGTGACTTGTTTTCATGTTAGTCGTTAGTGGAAGCATGCACAGCTTCGAGCGGAGGAGGTGTGTGTCTCAGGTCTGATAGTTACTAAACTTCAAACCGCTCTTTCTTGAGGCTAAGAAAGGTTTGGGGAGTTATGATCTTCACATTTGCTAAGATGATACCTGCTATTTACAGTGATCACAGGGGCGCCTGGGTGGCTCAGTCGGTTTAGTGTCCGGCTCTCTGATTTCCGCTCAGGCCATGATCTGACGGTTCATAGGATCGAGCCCCACATCGGGCCCTGTACCGACAGTGCAGAGCCTGCTTGGGATTCTGTCTCCCGCTCTTTCCCTTCCCCGCTCTCTGTCTCTTCCTCTCTCTCTCAAAATAAAAAACGTTAAAAAAACTTTTTAAGTGATTACAGAGCGTGTGAAATCTGACTGTCCTTAAGTGGAATTAAGTCAAATTTGCAAGATACAGAGTTGTTTCTAATGGTCTGAAATACTGTAGCGTCACTGTCCTGATGAAACGGTGGGGTTTTTCGGAAGACTGGGCACTCGCTTCCCAGGTGCTGCTGTAGATCAGTATGAAGCCTTCTAGCCAGGCTGAGTCTGGTAGGCAGGCTGCGGCCTCCCTCTGCAAATGTACTCCGTTAGAGCAGGGCTGCTTCTGAAAACTTGCTGTGTTTCAACCAATCCAGCTTAAGGGGCGAATGGCTGTCAAAAAAAATATCCTATGAAGTTATTCCTTTTAGAATATGACTGCTTCTCCCCCAGTGTCTTTATCTGATTAGGTGACTCAGCTTTTCTTACCTTGCTTTTTTTTTTT